TTAATTTATTATGCATGCCAATTTAGTTTTACTATTGATTTGTTATTTTACATTTTCGTCAAACACTTTAATAATTAGATTTCTATATTATATATACCACATATATTTATATAGCCATGCATAAGAGCAATTTATATATATACATACACATACGGTTTACAAGAAATTGCCCTAAATAAAAAAAATTAAAAAAAAAAAGCCCGGAAATAAAAAAAGCCCGTTAGGCCCGCTAAGCCCACGAGCCCGGCCCATTTAGCCCAGGACCATATGGGCTTAGGCCCGTCACGGGCTGGTCCTACCCGTTGAGCCCACGAAGCCCGGGACCGCCAGAGCCCGGGACCGCTAAGCCCGGGCCCGTTTAGCCCAGCCCGTTTAGCCCATTTAGGCCCGGGCCCGGGCCCACATACAGCCTTAATTATACCAGTGGGAACTTATCTTGCTTCCAATTTTCTGCCCGAGTGTAGAATGCGAAGTGTGAAACGTGTGATCTTCATTCTTACCTTGACCTTTCTAAACATGATGAACGACACCTCCTGTAAATCAATTCGAGAATTCTCATTACATCTAATAATACCATTTTTCACTTCATTGGCTAAATGCAATAAAGAGATTGCTTTTATGGTTAGTCCTTTATTATTTTACGAACAAAATTGCTCGTTGGATTATGACAACATAATGCAGCGAAATTGAAGGTACAAATTAAAATTGGCTATATTGACCAATGTCTGCCAATTCGGTTACTGATGAAAGGTCACCCAATGTAAAACGTTCTAGCATTTTACCAGCATTGGAATTGCAATCTGATACCTCATATACAGACATTCGTGAAATGTGAAGTTTAACCTTGAACAATTTCATTTCACCAGGAATTTTTACTATTATTCACACAAGAGTGGATGGTTTGGTCTCGCAGAGCATTAATATTTACATTTGCATTAGAATACAAAAATGCAACCCCTAAAAGGGCTGGATTTAGCAATAATTTAAGATATAGCAAAATTTGAAGAGGGGGGGGGGGGGGGGGGTGGCACATCTTTACCATCTTCACCATCTCAGGTTGGAACATCTCTTCAATTCCGGTTTATGAATATCCTTCTTGGAGACGCTCAAAATGCCACCTTGTTCTTCCACCTTTTCTATGAGAAGTTTTAGCAGAGGCACGCTTGACAGTGTAACGCATGAACCTACCATTATCAACTTCTTCTGTTCAATCAAAAGAGCAAGTACATTATTCTATATAATCTGAGTAACTTCATAAGGTCTCAAATAGAGCAAAATTTTCAGTCAAATGTCTCAAGGAACAGTATCTAAACCTTAGCACGTGTAAGAGCCACGTTAATCCTGTGCCAGTCTCCAAGCAATGAAGAAACATAGTTTCTTGGATTTTCACTTGACCTTACGAAGGATAGCAGAATGCAATCTTTATCCCTTCCCTGCAAAGAGTAGATTACATTAGAACAATTAGGGAATGTACCGATCTCTTAGTCCTTTCTACCTAATTAATCAAGTAATTTGATGTAACTGCAAGACCACCATGAGCCACAGAAAATGATTCTAAAAGCAAACAATCGTGTAGATTGGATCATTCGTGAATTGCCAAACGAGCTTCGTGGGGCTAATAGATGGCATATATAATCTTAAACGGTTGAGGATAGATAACGAACAACTGGACAAGGACTTAGGGCTTTTTTCTAGGCAAAGTCAGGTGAACATAAGTGTCTCTGAAGTAGCATTGTGAGATGCGAGGGATTAGACTTCTTGTTCTGGGCTAGGGTATTGAGAAGTTTTAGGCTTCTTGAACTTCTGTTTCAGAAACGGAAAGCCAACCATTTTTCTGCTCTCTACTTCCAGCTGGCATTCAGGACCCTATAGTTCAAAACCGTACTAGGTCGCCTATGTGTGTAGTTGACAATTACAAACGTGTCAGAGAATAAGCATAGACAGATATATTTCTAGTAAGGCTGGTCAAGTGATTTCCTTTCCCCTTCTACTACCCTGCCAAAAAGGAGCTGTCTTTTTTAAAAATAAGAAAAGTTGCAAATTTAAGATGTTTTTCAAGGATGTATTACATCAACATATATTACCTGGTATTTATCAATGATATGTATCTCCACTGATGTGGAAACAGATTGCCGGATAAGATCTGCCTGAGAGTTGTAGGGTGTAATGATGCCTATATCTTCCTCCAATATACCTCTGCTCAACAACCTAGGCACTATCTGTAGGCCAAAATCATTATACAGAAATTGCAGCTTAATATATTTCTTGTGATCCGATGCCAATGGTCATTAACATTCATGGAAGAAGCAAGAGGCAGTCATACCTCAGCAATGATATTTGCTTCCATTGGGTTATTACAGCTTTACGGTCATTTGTTTCAAATGCAAGCAACAAATCTAGTCTGGAAAAACAGATAAGCCAACAGCTTAGGACAAGAACGTTTAAACTGCATTTGACAAGCCTGCATAATTTGATTTGAGATGGAAATTTGCCTGACCTGTGTTTATAAAGACGACAGGTCTGTCTGGATTCAAAGCCTGTCAAGACAGATCATACCAGGTTATTTCACAGAATAAGACGACAAGCAGTTGGGGTATTAACCCTCACAATTCATACAACATATTTTTCTGGAAGGAATATAACTGCTTAAGATGAGATCATCCTTGTCAGATAATGATCACACCAAGTAACTGCACTAAATTTCTCCCTTGTAAAATTTCTCCTACTGTTTTCCTACATTCCCATCACTACCTTTGTATAC